AATTTAAAAAAAATGTTTTTTTAAGAACCAACTATATATTTATATTTAATTTTACTCTTTTGTTGGTCAATATGATTTTTGATTCGATATTTTGTACCAAAACATTAAAAAATAAATTTAAAAAAATCTTGAAAATTGTCAAAATAAATTATTTTTTTCAAGATGATATGTTAAAAAAATAACATTTTGAATAAAATATTTTATAATATCGACACTTTTCTTGTACACATCCTATACTTTATATGAAAAAAGAAACAAAAACCTGGAAATTTTATGATTTTTATCTGGAAAACCTGGAAAAATCAGGGAAATTTGAAATCGGATTTGAGTGGCCACCCTGTTATTGCCTTTAAATTTGCTAGTATAGAATCATTTGTATGTCCTAATGTTAAAATCTCTTCAAGTCTTCAATAGCTATGTTCACAACTGTTACATATCTGAATTGAGACAAATTGCTCATTCAATGAAATTTACTGAAAGCTAAAGTAAAACTATTAAGTCGTAGATTGAGTCCATTCGTAGACTTTTTATAACAAAACCTGAAATTCTTCTGATTTTTTTAGTTGGAATTTTTCACACTTGAAAATTCTTATTTATTTATTAATTTCTATTAAACTTTAGTTATTAGCTTTTTTTTTTAAACGTTGATTCATTTTTAATAAGTTAAAGTAGTTCAGATCAATAATATATTTTTTATTTTAATCCCTTTGTTTTTACTATTTTATTTATTTTTTGGGGCCAGCTGATTTTTTTTTGCAATTGTTACATTTTATGAACTTTATTTTAGTATTGCAGGTATCTTATCATTATAGGGCGATTCCACCATTCACAAATGATGTATTTTTCAACTTTGAATGCACAAATCTCAGTTTTAAAGAAATAATCAAGACATTCTAACAGTTTTTGCTAAAATATCTCTTAGCGTCATTACAGTTACTTAAATTTTTATTAACTTTCATTCACTATTTTTTTTTTTTTAAATTTAAATTCTGGCTTTTACATTTGTAACAAACAGTTTTTAATTTTTTAGAAATTTTTAAGCAAATGAAAGCTTATTAAAAATTGGTGTGTGTGTAAATAACAAAATTAATTCTAATATAAATTAATTGAATATATATATATATATATATATATAATTTATTTTTTTTTCAAAACTGAGTTTTGTGCTTTTAAAGTCTGCTCACATGACATTCATTAATGGCGGAATTGCCCTTTGGCTTTCATAAAGTCATAATGGCTTTTAAATCTTGTGAATCTATTAAGAATGAAACATAACATTTAAATACAAATATCTTCCTACAAGCTCTGCAGATAAATTTTTTGTAGGTCAGAAGTGGGGAACCTACGACCTCAAAGTTTTTTGTGCGCCCTCTAGCCCTTGTATTTATTAATATTTAATTAGATATGTTATACCTACCTATTATAAAATTAATGTTATTAAGTGCTACCATTCATTGAGTATAACATGAATTAGAACCTAGCAATATTGCAGTTATAGCAGTCTTTCATTGTCTGAAATTGCCATTCTTTTGCACTTTTCAATTTGCCAATGTCCAATGATAGAAACTCTTCTGTTTTGTTCGTATTTTTGACCATGGCTCACCCTTACTTGAAATACATTAACCCTGATGCTATAGCAACCGTAATTAACCAGACACTATTTGACTCATAAGGAAGATAAATATTTCAATTTATATGGTGAATCTCAATAAGATGCAAGCATTTGTTCAAAAATACTGTACTATTTTAAAAAAGTATTTAAATGTATGCAATTGTTTATTAAAAAATTATAAAATAATGTTATAATAAGTTATTAGCGATATGTGAATACAAAAATATTTTATATTGTAAAATTTTTCTTTTAATAAAAAATTTCTTAATGTTTTTTTTTTTTTTTTTTTTTTTTTTTTTTTTTTTTTTTTTTTTTTTTTTTTTTTTTT